CATTTACTCCACCGGCCTCGCTCCGTTCCCACGGCTCTCGGTCCCGCCCCTCTCGTCACACACGTCTTTAATCATTAGCACCGCTTTAATCACTCACTACTCATGTCCATTGGGTCCTTGGCTCAGCTGTTTTAAGCTTACCTGTCCAATGCGATTTTCCAGACATGTATAGCCACCCACTACTCACTCTCTCTCTCTCTCTCTATTTCTCTCTCTATTTCTCTCTCTCTGGCACACAGGGTGTGCATGGATTAGTTCCAGCTCACACACTCTGCCCCCAATCTAATCCCTATAAACACATTGAGAGCATTAAGGCGGTCGCACACCGGACGAGAAGCGCCGCGCCGTGTCGCATCTAGAACAATTCGTACAACAAGTACAACATGACGTAGCTGGGCGCTGCGGACAGACGCCGAACGGCGCCGCCGGTGTGCATACACACATAGAAAACAATGTGTTCGAATTTTAAATATGTGGCGCGACGCTGCGCTTCTCATCCAGTGTGTGACCGCCTTTAGGCTGTTGGCTGCACCATTATATGTATATTTTGGTCTATGGACAATCAAAAAAAATTAATCGATAAAGTGTGTCAACAAGCAGCTAAATGTTTCGGCAGAAATGTAAATGACAATGGCTGCCGCATTCCACTCCCTCTCGATCATAACCAGCACTATGACTCTTACAAAAAAGTAATGCGGCAGTCACAGATGATGTCAGATGCTGACATCTTTAATGTATACCATGGCACTGAAGGATTACCATATGTACCATGGTATTTACATGATACGCCAAAGTACTTCAAAGAATGCAATGGTAGTACCTAATGTTTATGTCCAAAAAAACATAGTATCAAAATGATACCTGTCTAAAAAGACATGAGATTACCATGTCCAAAAAACATGGTATTACTGTGGTACCTGTCCAAGTAAAACATGAGATTACCTTGCCAAAAGACATGGTGTTACCATGGTACCTGTTAAAAAAACACATGCTTATCATGTCCAAAAACATGGTAATACCATGGTACCTGTCCAAAAAAACATGCATATGTCCAAAAACATAGTTTTACCTTAGTACCTGTCTATAAACAGGAGATCACTATACCCAAAAACATAGCATTGCCATAGAATCTGTCCAAAAACGTGGTATTCCCATGGTACCGACCCAAAAAAACCACAAGATTACTTTATCCAAAAACATTGTATTACCATAGTACGTACCCAAAAATGTGCTATTACCATGCTACCATGTTAAAAAAAAACGTATTACTATGATTCATGTCCTAAAAATGTTTCCATGATAGATGTCCAAAAACATTGTATTGCCATGGTAATACTATGCAAGTAAATTATCATTACCATATCCACCCAGACTTACATAAAATAAGCTGCCGTTGGGTGGGTGATTATGGGCCAGAATAAGCTAGACTGTGGGCTAGGCTTTATGCCCATAGTCAAAGTTCTTGTTCTGCAGGACTGTGCTACGGTTGACTGATGTGTCTGCATTTTTCTTTCTCTCTTTTTCACCCTAAAAAAGCCAAGCAACTGTCAGACCCCAGAACAAACGACATGTGTCAACCCACCTCAGAGAATCTCAGAGAGCCCTGCGCCCATGGATGGCAAATCTAATTTAGGTATAACTCCACACCCAACCCGCTTTTGTGATAATATTTGTCTCTTAAGGTCTTTAGTTTCCTTTTGTTCATGTTTTAACCTTCTCTTTGCTCTTGACCTTATAGATGACAGGCCAAAAATGGAGTCTGCTCCCATAATGCCTGTATCTCCTGGGCCTAGGCCTTCAGAGTCCACTTTAGAGAAAAGAGAAGCCCCAAGTCTTCCATTATTAGCCTCTTCTTCTCCAGAGATGGCCTCTGATGTTCCCTCCCATCCTTCAAGTGAATGCATTAAACCAACTGCTGCAGGAGAACCTGAATTTATTTCTCCTTCAACTACCAAGTCTCAGACGCATCTGGTTAATTCTGGTGGGGACTCTATTCCTGAAAGTTCTCTCAGACTGTCTGCTTCGCCCTCGCCGTCCCTCAAAGTGGTAAATGGCCTTGCCGAGTCTCAAACTCACTTATCAAGCTATGAAGAACTTGAGGCCCAGGAAGCCCTAAATATATCATTGTCCAGCGAGGTTCAGCTGCCAACCCAGGGTATGTTATCCATGGAGGAGTCTGGTCAGGAAGTTCCAGTGGCCTTGGAGGAGCTCCAGGCAGAGCACCTCCCTTCTCTAGCTGTACATGTGCCCTTGATCCCTACAGTACAGGCCCCTTCAAGCACCTCCTGCACTGCTACTGTCATTGGACCACCACCTGGTTTGGCACCACTAGTGCAGTCAGTTGTCCTTGAGGTGCCAGAGCAAAACAAGTCCTCGGACAATGTCCAACCGAAGGCTCAGGATGCTTCAGAATCACAAACTCAGAACAACTCTAGAAAGTTCATACCCTCAGGTATTTGTTCTTCATGATTCATGTTACAAAGCAGGCAAAATTAAAAGTTCAAATGACCAGTTACCAATTGTATTGTCCTTTTTGTGATCGCCCAAGCTGTTTCTGCTGTACCAAAGTCTTGGAAGAAACCAAATGAAGATGTTCTGATGGTGGAAACACTGCTGAAGGAGAATGAGGTGAGATTCACAGAGGTGACATTGACAACAGTGTTATTATCCTGAACAAAAATAAATCAAAACATTTTAAAAATTTACATTTTTTTTCTTTTTTGGATTTTCAAAACCATTTTCAAATGGTTTTGGGCTCAAAAATCCAAGACTAATTATTTTTCTTTTTTTTTTAAATAACGTTTTGGATTTTATCTTACTTTAATTAGTTTTGGATTTTTGGAGTCATAAAACGTCCTCCAAAAACCTGAAACTTTTACAATCCTCCTGCATTAAACATGAAAATGGAACCAAACTTTGTTAAGAAATTTTATATTTTAAATGAAACCAGTTATATGCATTAACGTTAGTTACGTATGTAACTGTGGTTTTGTGAATTCCGGATGACCACCAGAGGCAGTGCTAAGCACTAGTGGATAATCGCTGCACCAGCTAGATAGGTCGAGAAAGAAATACCAACATAGTCATGACGTAGACCGAGATGCGAGGATATAAACCACAGAAGTTCGATGCCCAGCCTCGGAATGCTTTCTCGTGCATTTTGAATGACGAGGAACTCTGGCGGTCATCCGGAATTCACAGAACCACAGTTACATACGGAACTAGCGTTAATGCATAGTGTTCTGTTTCATTCCTCCTGACCACCAGAGGTGGTGCTAAGCACTAGCACCCGCTGGTAAAGGCAGGTTAGAATTATTATATGCTAGTTTTATCACCTCTACGATCCAACGTGATAGTCTTTGCTTAGACAAAGGAGCGCCCTTGCGTACCTCACCATAACAGACAAATAACTGATCTGTCTGTCTAAAAGAAGCAGTAGACTTAACATAGCACCTCAAAGCTTGTACAGGACACACAAGATGAGATCTTCCCCCGCCTGCATCGGAGGGAGAAAAAGGAGGTTGAAAAGCAGCCAGATGAATAAACTGATTCACAAATTGTGGCGACAAGACCTTAGGGAGGAAGCTGAAGAATGACTCCAGAATCCTCTGGTAACCAGTGTGAGCACGATTCACTTATTGACAGGGCATGAAGCTCACAAACGCGTTTAGTGGAAGCAATGGCTAACAGAAAAGACACTTTCAAGCCCACAAGCACAACCACTTAATATCCACAACATCCAATGCTTCAAATTGTGGTGTACAAAGAAACTCTAGAACAAGCGGCAAGTCCCAATCAGAAAAAGGATTAGAACGAACAGGCTTTAAATGCCTTGCTCCCTTCAGAAAACTACATACAAGGTTGTGAGACCCGAAGGATGCACCATCGACCGGGGCATGACAAGTAGATATGGCAGCAACATAAACTTTTGAGCAATGGGAACATCCTTCAAGTCTACACTCACAAACCAGACTCCTTTCATCACAGATTGTAGAACGTCGACTGTGCGCAACATTCAAAAAGGAAGACACTTTAGGAACCTGTGGTGGAGGGGAAAAGGGCAGCATGACTGAGTCTCTGGCCACTCTATGTCGCTGTGGTGTTTAAAGTTGAGGACTGCTGTGGTGACGCAACTGCTGCTCTGAGCTCGAGTAGCGTGGGTAAGCTGGCGTCAATGGCATCCTAAAAGAAGGAGCCCGTGGGGCCTGAGTTAGGCAGCTGGCAAATAGTATTCTCCGCTCAAGTTATGTAGGCTACAGACTCCTATGATTTTTTCAATAATGTGTCAGTACGACCACATTGCGTACGTTGCCTCTAAGCACTTCATCTGGTGATAGCACCAATGCTGTTACCGGCTGTTCAATTTCAGGTGCCCGACCTACCTCAATAGAGTCAGCATCAGCCATTGAGACAAGAATACAGGCTGACTTTGACCTCCTCTTAGGCACATTGGAGCCTGTTAATGCACTGGAGAATTCAGCCACAAAGTCCTTGCATGGTGGCATAGTAAACATACTATAAGCATTTTGCCTGAAGGACACATTAGTTTGAGCAGGCTGAATAGATTTATCAAGACCCAAATGAGCCACTGTCATCTGCAGGATCAAAAGAATGTCATCAGGAGAAGATTGGCTTGCACTAGATGAATGTACAGTCCCACTGCTTGAACCACCAGCAGCAGACAGGCTGGAGAGAGCATCCTGTGGGGGGCCAGGCTGCATGGAATCACACATGGATATCAAAACTGCCTTTGGATAGTACCACGGGGCATACGATAGCTTGCACAATGGCAAATAAGCGATGAAATCAAGGATAAATAAGTTTATCCTAAGTGCTGTCGAAACCAGCCACCGGATAGTAACGTGAAGCACAGGGTATCGCCAAATTCCCTTTAAGACGACAAGTCATGTCACTCTGCGGCCATCTTTCAAACGCAGACTAATGGCATTGTTATCATTGCACAAACCATTATGCAGTCTTTCATTTCAAATAACACCTCCAGGCCCTTGTATAATGCTGCTTTTCTTCGTTCACATCAGGAGGAGACCACAAAGGACAGCTCTACTGGAGATGACATGGTCTCACAACCAACCTTAGGGCACCAGGAGAAGCTCTCAGAGGAGAACGGTGAGATTGAAACAGAGCCTTTTAGGAATGGGGTGGAGACAGAAAGCACTGACAGTGGCGTTACACTCGGAGACAGCAGGGGGTCCATGTGTTCACCCACTCCACTCATGCAGGAAGGTAAGACTTCCCACAGGAACTAATTGAAATTTCTGATCTTTTCATTTTAGCGTTGATACAGATTTTTTTCATTCATTGGAGATCGAAGAAGTCATCCAATAGCCAGTAGCCAATGGTATACAGCACAGCCATGAATTGCTATTGCTAGTCACATTTTGATTTCAGAGAGTGCTTATTAAAGGTTTTTGTTGTTTGTAACACCAAAAAGCACCTTACAATTTTATACTATTTTTGTTGATTCTTCCAATGTATTACTCTTAACAAATTACATAATATATGTCTGTCCTACTATTGCTGTGCTTTTTCCACCCCAGGTCTTGTGCAATCTAATGGAAAGAGACAGTATGACCGGGACTTCCTGTTGGGTTTTCAGTTTATGCCGGCCTGCGTGCAGAAACCAGAGGGACTGCCTCAAATCAGTGATGTGGTGCTAGACAAGGTGTTTATTGTTGTTGTTGTTGTTGTTAATCATTTCTTATGTTGTCAGAAGTTTTGGAGTCCTTCTGGAATTGAGCTGTCTGACTGCTTCTTGGATTTTGTAGACAAAAACACAATGTGCATTTGATAAATAATAGTATTACTGTATCACATATGCAATGTATCATGGTTTCCCTAAAAATATTAGGCAGCACGACTGTTTTCAACATTGATAATAATAGGAGATGTTTCTTGAGCACCAAATCAGCATATTAGAATGATTTCTGAAGGATCATGTGACACTGAAGACTGGAGTAATGGCTGCTGAAAATTCAGCTTTGCCATCACAGGAATAAATAATGTTTGGTGAGCGTAAGACTTTCAAAAACATTTAAAACATTTTAAACACTTGCACAAGCAGTTATCAAAACTGAACAAAAATGAACAAGAAGTCAAAACTAGTCGCTTGCCATACATGTCTAATCAGTGTTATTAACCTCATAAATATGCAGGTTAAATCTTAACCCATTTTGTACAATGAGAAATCTCGTAACCTACGTGACTACTCAGTTTAACAGGGTGATCCTAACTATTTTTAGTGTCAAAAACATTCTTTGCCTACTTCCTAAAAAACCTGAAAATACAGACATAAAATTTTTCACCTAAGGTGCTTACAACATGAAAAGTACAGTAATACAAGTATGTTCCCCGGACTACTAAACTTCGGCTGAGCTGCACTCTTCAGCCATAAAACTCCCTTGACGTCCTGTTTCCATTAAAATTGCATTACGGGTATGTCATACTTGGCAGTAGGCATCATTTAGCCTAAAGATGTTAGAACATAAATGCCCTGCTCCTGTTCAGTGCATAGTCTTAAACTTTAGTCTAATCTGTTGATATGAGAGTTTTCACAGCAAGCTTGTTGTTGTCATCTGTATATACTTTCTCGGTTACTGTTTCCGATAACACTTGTTTCTGTTGTTCTGAACATGCACGCAGTACTTTCAGTTTCCTATTTCAGTTCCTAGATTTTACTCTGCATGTGTACTTGCTCACATCTGTTTCTGGCTGTTCTTGCTCCCTCCGTCACAGGATGACTGGAGCGTAAATCGTTGAACATGTTGTTGATATATAAATAACAAATGGAGCTAGTCTCCATGGCAAATACTGTTTCCCCTCAGTGCTGTAGGGCAAGGGAATGCTGGTCTCAAAACAGTTTTTCTCATACTGATTGTGATAAAGATACAGATAGGTACAGCTAGTCCAAGATCAGCATAAGGAGGAGGGGAGGTAGATCTGGTGTTTTGTTCACGTCACAGCTCTGTTTCTCACTGCGCCTCCTGCTGGATTACTCATGGAAATGATCTCTTCTGTTTCAGATTAACCAAAACAAGCTGCCACTGAGGTCTGTGGACCCCAGGTTGATTTCCAGGGGCACTCCCCAGGATTTCACTCCCGCTTTTGCTGACTTCAGCAGGCAGATGCCAGGAGGACATGGCGCCCCAGTGAGTTATAATAACTCATATGAACTATTACAGAACTAAAAATAATACAGAACCAAAAATAGCTATACATATATATATATACACAGGTGCATCTCGATAAATTAGAATGTCGTGGAAAAGTTCGTTTATTTCAGTAATTCAAAATGAACTTTTCCACGACATTCTAATTTATTGAGATGCACCTGTATATAGATGTGAGGTGTTTCCACACACACACACACACACACAAATCCTAATCTATCAACATATTCAGGTACGATTGAGGAATTTTGTAGAACATTTAGCAGTTTGGTAGATGAATCTATTCATCAAGAAACCACCTAAGATTAATATCTAGGTCTTGTTTCACCCCAAAATCAAAAGAAAGAAATAAGTCATTGTATTTTGCATAAAGTAAATGAAGCCTCTTTTTAGGGCCATTAAGTTTTTTTTTTGCCTTTTGACATTATTTTCATAACAATTAAGCACATTTCCATCCAAATTATCATTACTTCATTGATGCAAAAAAATCAAATTCACATTACTATAATGTGGAAAAAAAGATGATATATTAAGAATGCATATATTGTACCTTTATTACTGCTTTTAATTTGTTTTTCTCATCTATTTTCTAATATTATTTTACTGTAAAAACTAATGGCTCAAAAAGCAAAACATCCACATATATTACAGTAATGTGAATTTAGTGGTAGAATGTGCTTAATTTTATAAAATAAAGTTTCTTTTTTTTTCTTTTGATTTATAAGTGAGATTAACCCAGCAATTGTCTACATTTTAAAGTGTGACACTCTTCTAAAAGCTGTTCATTTCTTTTCTATCTGTACACTTTATCCAAAGCTTATAAACGTGCGGCGACTTCCACCACGCAAGATCATAGTAAATGTTTCCGTTAATGATGACGTTCAGCTCAAGAAGGCAGAGAATGCCTGGAAACCTGGGATGAAGAAAGAGAATGTCACAGATGACCCAGAGGCCCTGAAAACCCAGGTGTGGAGTTCTGCTCTTTTACTATTATCCATAAGTGTTTGAAAAATTCACTGTAAAAGAAGCACTTCAAGAGATGCACACCTAAGCTTGAATTAGATGGTTATCACATGTGGCTGCTTTTGTTCTTGTCGGCACTGGGGTTTTGTTTGACGTTCTCACATCCCTTAAGTCCTGATTTGTCACCTGATTTGTTTATTTTATCTGAAGGTTGTTTTGTTGATTTGAACTGCAATGTGTTGGCAATCTGTTGCTTTTCTGGCACTTCAGGAGTTGTTCCGGAAAGTTCGTAGCATTTTGAACAAGCTCACACCCCAGATGTTTCATCAGCTGATGAAGCAGGTGACGGATCTCACGATCAACACAGAGGAGAGGCTGAAAGGAGTCATCGACCTTGTGTTTGAGAAAGCCATTGATGAGCCCAGCTTCTCTGTGGCCTACGCCAACATGTGTCGCTGCCTGGCTACGGTACGTTCTGTGCACTTTGGAGTTAATTGTGCAGTGTGCAATTGTGAAATTTCCATGTCTATTTTCTTTGGACTGTCCGTTATTTTGCCTCATATTATTCATTCTTTAGTATGTCATAAGTATTTCTTCCTCTTATGATCCAATTGTAGCTAAAAGTGCCCACAGCAGACAAACCTAATACCACAGTAAACTTCCGGAAGCTGCTATTGAACCGCTGTCAGAAGGAATTCGAGAGGGACAAAGTGGACGACGTTGTATTTGAGAGAAAACAAAAGGAGCTGGACTCTGCCACATCAGTAATTATTCAATAATGATTAGCAAGAATTTAGACTTGCTCGTCTTAGTAGATTTTTTGACTTTTAGTCCGTAATGTCTATTTATGTACTATATTCACCAGGGCAAATGTATTTAATACGAAGTTAACCCTAAAATGAAAAATATGTCATTATTTACTCAACCTCGTGTCAACCCAAATCATTTTATAAAAAAAAAAAATGGTTGTTGTATTTGAGAGAAAACAAAAGGAGCTGGACTCTGCCACATCAGTAATTATTCAATAATGATTAGCAAGAATTTAGACTTGCTCGTCTTAGTAGATTTTTTGACTTTTAGTCCGTAATGTCTATTTATGTACTATATTCACCAGAGCAAATGTATTTAATACGAAGTTAACCCTAAAATGAAAAATCTGTAATTATTTACTCACCCTCGTGTCAACCCAAATCATTTTATAAAAAAAAAAATGGTTAGTATGCAGTTGTTACATTAGTATTTTTTTTATATAATGCTAGTATTAAATACTATTGTAATATTTATTAATATTATGAATTAGCTTTTTCAGTTTTCATTTTATTGTTAGTTTTACATCCGATATTTATATTTTATTTCATCCTAGTTTCAATTACCAAAAACAATTTTAATAGTTTTAGTTTTCATTTGTGTTTTGGTTAATAGTAACAGTGCTGCTAGTACATTCTTCAACATTGCTTTTTTTGTGTTCCTCTGAACACAAGGAATGACATTAAGGGGGAGTAAATAATGACAATTAATTTTTGGTTGCACTATTCTTTTAAATACATTATTGAACGCATTATGGGATTTATATGTAACTCTTGTTTTTAGCCCACAGAAAGGGAAAAAATGCAGGAAGAGCTCGAGGAGGCAAAGGACAAGACCCGGCGTCGCTCCACAGGAAATATCAAATTTATCGGTGAGCTGTTCAAGCTCAAGATGCTGACAGAGCCCATCATGCATGACTGTGTGGTGAAACTACTAAAAAACCATGACGGCGAGAGCTTAGAGTGCCTCTGCAGACTCCTCACTACCATCGGCAAAGACCTTGACTTCGAGAAAGCCAAGGTAACTCACCCAGCAGTTTGTTATTAAACATTCTGGAGCCGTATCGATTCATATTTCACAAGATCAGTGGTAAAATCCCTTGGAAAGGGAAATTGGGGAAGGCATCCAAGGTAGAATGTTTTACTTATTATTTAAGTAATCTAATATGACCATGAAACTAGATCCACTGTAAAACCTAATGGCAAAAGTATGGTCCACTTTGCAAGCTGCTCAAGAACTGCCTCTTAGACAGGAAGGATGCATCTAATTGACAAGTAAGTAGGGTCTGAAATTAACACTCTTTAAGCAACAAATAAGAGTTAAAATGATTTTTGATGGCGTTGGGTTGATTTACAAGGAATTGCAACATAATGCATGGTTAGTTCGACTTGTAAGAGTGATAGTGTAACCTTCCATGATGTAAATGACTCAAACGATTTAAATTAAAGACATACAGACCATCTACTAAAGAAAACATTTGTCGTGACTTGCACATCTTGTAATGACTTGTACCAGACCAAACACAGATTTTGTATGATTTTTATGGAAAGGTTAATCTGAAATCATGTGCAGATGTGCTTCTATGTTTCCCAGAGAAAATTCTTGGATATCTTGGAATGATTCAGTGCCAGAACCTTGCGAATATTGGCAAATCCTGCAATTGGTTTCACCTTCGAAGTGCACAGCATGGGAACATGTAAAAAGTTTTGTTTCCTACCAGACTAATAAAATCCCCCCCCACATTGGACATTGCATAAATCCAGCCGATCACACTGGAGCTTGCCATTTTCAGAAAGCTTTTTGCCATTTTTGTGTGCAATATGCATCAGACAGGCGGTCTGTAGGCAGTCCATGGGTGTTCTGTCTGAGGCTGAGACTGCAGTTTATAAGGACTGGAGCTTTATTTAGCCCAAAAGGACACTCAAAAGCTGAATTTTTTGATTAATTCTTAACTAACCACATAATCACTGTTGTTCACTTGGCATATCTTCAGCACGCCTCTGCTGTTTGTTTGTCTGGTAAAATAGGCTACTAATAAATCAGTCCAGTACTCTGGAAAGGCAGCACTCAGCAGTAACAGTGTTAACTTTGATGCCCAAAAAGGAGGGTAAAGTTCGAATTGTTTTGTGCATGTATTGTAGAAAAATAGCTCAAAATGAGACATTCTCGCTGAAGGGATCTCTGTAGCGCTGTTCGTGTTGCATTCTTGAATGATGGCTAAAGGCGGGTAACCGAAAGGGTGTCGGTTTGAGTCTTGGAGCATAAACTATGCATGAACTGTCACCAAGTTTCCCATGAGCAAGACACCTAACACCATTTCTTTTTTAAAAAGGTCTCTTATGATCACCAAGGCTGTATTTATTTGATCAAAAATACAGTAAAACACTAATATTGTGAAATATTATTACAATTTATAGTAACCGTTTTGTATTTTAAAATGTGTTCTACTCCTGTGATGGCAAAGCTGCATTTTCAACAGCCATTACTTAAGTCATCAATGTCACATGATCCTCCAGAAATCATTCTAATATGCTGATTTGCTGTTAAAAAGGCATTTCTTATTATTCTCAATGTTGAAAACAGTTGTGTTGCTTATTATTTTTGTGAAAACCATGATACAGAATTTTTTTTTAAACATTGTTTATTTGAAATAGAAATATTTTGACCAATGTAAAAGCTTTTACTGTCACTTTTGATCAATTTAATAAATAATTTCTGAATAAGAAAATTATTCAAACAAAAATAGAAAGAAAGAAAAAACATTTTACTTTAGTGTAAGTGAAACATAGCCATTATTAAACACACAAACATTTAAAATTGTGTTACATTTTCACATGATCTCTTTATGTTGCAGTGAAACTAAATTAGTTTTAAATTACATGCATTGAATGACATCTACATAACATTAGAATTTAATATAGAAACCTTTTTAATGCAGTTATAAGTTAAATGGAAGATTACATTGCATTGAACACATTTTACACCCCAAAAGCTTTGACTGGAAAAGCCTTTTTTTCACCCAGTTTTCCTGCACAGCTCCTTATCATCGTTTCACGATTGTGTAGCTTTGAGATTTTTATCTTTAATCTGATTGTGAATATGTTGAAATGCCTTTGTCTTTTGAAGTACTTGATTGAAATGTCATTGTAGCTGTACAAAGGACTGAGCTGGGAAAATGCTGCAGTGCAAAGCTAAAGAATGAGGAATAATCAGGCATGGGGGTGAACATATTCTGAATACTGTACACACACGCGCACACACACAGTCTAAATGGGTTTCAGCTGAGCCCAACAGACCCTGGAGCTAAGTGTTAGGCAAGAGGGTAAATGTTTTCTGTATCCATCCTTTCTTTCTAGCGGCAGGAACTTAAGGCATTTTTCAGCTCACAGGGAGTCCGATCGGGAAATAGGTTCTGTGTTTATTGACCTTCTTGATTTAGGAACAGTTCTTTGCCTCAAAACATTATTTTTTAGATTTACGATGACTCCCTATATGTCCTGTAACCCATAATGGATGGGTACAGACAGGAAGATCTGTGCTATATGATCACACATCACTGCAGCAATGAAGAAGTCTGTCTTCATTTATAATCAGTAATCTTGCAGGGATGTTGTGATTGACAAGGGCACATGGACTCATGAAGTCAGTATTTGATATTCAACTGAAATGTTTTTCATCACTCCCTGCTCTGTGTCCTTGAATAGCCCCGTATGGACCAGTACTTCAACCAGATGGAGAAAATTGTCAAAGAGCGCAAGACATCGTCACGGATACGGTTCATGCTACAGGATGTGATAGATCTGAGACTGGTAAGTGCCATAGGGGATTGTGTTTGTTTGTTTGTTTGTGTGTGTGTGTGTGTTGAGAGAGTGTACAGATAGACATTGCCAGACGTTTAGAAAGGCCTGGTTTTCATGCAAGTAACAGAAAAAAGCAAAAACATCTGTGTAGTGTTTTTGCTGTCTTAATTTTTTTACATTTTTTTTAACCACTTCATAATCTTTAGTGCTTTATGTGGCATTTGACTTTAACGAAAATAGTGGTACAGTGCAGTAAAAGCAGTAATTTGGTGAAATATTATTACAATTTAGAATGGATTCTTTACTGTCACTTTTTTTTTTTTAATCAATTTAATGCATCCTTGCTAAATAAAAGCATTCATTTCTAATAATAGTATTTTAGATCATTTTAAAATACATTAAAATTGTTCTTTAAAGTGAAGTGATGTGAAAGTGATGTGACATGTGGCCAGGTATGGTTACCCATACTAGGAATTAGTGCTCTGCATTTAACCCATCCTAAGTGCGCACACACACAGCAGTGAACACACACACACCGTGAACACACACCCGGAGCAGCGGGCAGCCATTTATGCTGCGGCGCCCGGGGAGCAGTTGGGGGTTCAGTGCCTTGCTCAAGGGCACCTCAGTCGTGGTATTGAAGGTGGAAGAGAGCACTGTACATTCACGTGTTGAGAGAGTGTACAGATAGCCATTGCCAGACGTTTAGAAAGGCCTGGTTTTCATGCAAGTAACAGAAAAAAGCAAAAACATCTGTGTAGTGTTTTTGCTGTCTTCATTTTTTTACATTTTTTTTAACCACTTCATAATCTTTAGTGCTTTATGTGGCATTTGACTTTAACGAAAATAGTGGTACAGTGCAGTAAAAGCAGTAATTTGGTGAAATATTATTACAATTTAGAATGGATTCTTTACTGTCACTTTTTTTTTTTTAATCAATTTAATGCATCCTTGCTAAATAAAAGCATTCATTTCTAATAATAGTATTTTAGATCATTTTAAAATACATTAAAATTGTTCTTTAAAAGTTTTAATATAAAAAACAATAAAAAAAACAATAATTTTACTTTATAATAATTTATTTATTATAATTTATATGATTTTTATTTAACATATGAATTTTATAAGTGGAAAAATATACGTGAAAAAAGGCACGGAAACAGAAAAACTGAACTCAGTGGCCCAGAAACAGCCACAGGTTAAATATAGTGTCAGCAAGGGTCATAACTTTTGGCATCACATTATATTCACATCGGTTTGCCAATAGCATAGTTTAGCCTGGTGTCTCTCCCCTGCATTCTTCAGTTTTTGTTTTATCTTTGAGTGATAAAAATGTGTGAGAGAGAAGAGACAAAAAGAGGAGGGATGCTTCTTCAAATTTTTTAAGCTTTTATTGTACACAGCTTTAAAAAAAATTCTGAAAGGTTTGTAGTTTTATATAGTTTGGAGTTAAATGTAATTGTTTCTCAGAATGACACTGATCTATTAATCATAGACACCTGATCTCTCTGATTATTTATATTGTCCAGCATAACTGGGTGTCCCGAAGAGCAGACCAGGGTCCTAAAACCATAGAGCAGATCCATAAAGAGGCCAAGTGCGAGTCCGACTCTCTAACCATTAGGCCACGACTTCCCCATTAAAAGTTTTAATATAAAAAAACTTAATAAAAAAAAACAATAATTTTACTTTATACTAATTTATTTATTATAATTTATATGATTTTTATTTAACATATGAATTTTATAAGTGGAAAAATATACGTGAAAAAAGGCACGGAAACAGAAACACTGAACTCAGTGGCCCAGAAACAGCCACAGGTTAAATATAGTGTCAGCAAGGGTCATAACTTTTGGCATCACATTATATTCACATCGGTTTGCCAATAGCATAGTTTAGCCTGGTGTCTCTCCCCTGCATTCTTCAGTTTTTGTTTTATCTTTGAGTGATAAAAATGTGTGAGAGAGAAGAGACAAAAAGAGGAGGGATGCTTCTTCAAATTTTTTAAGCTTTTATTGTACACAGCTTTAAAAAAAATTCTGAAAGGTTTGTAGTTTTATATAGTTTGGAGTTAAATGTAATTGTTTCTCAGAATGACACTGATCTATTAATCATAGACACCTGATCTCTCTGATTATTTATATTGTCCAGCATAACTGGGTGTCCCGAAGAGCAGACCAGGGTCCTAAAACCATAGAGCAGATCCATAAAGAGGCCAAGCTGGAGGAACAGGAGGAACAGAGGAAGGTTCATCAGCAGCTTCTGTCTAAGGACATCAAGAGGAGGCCAGGTGAGATCCACAGCACATCCTCACAGCTTTTTAGATTGTGTCTCCAGTATAGCAAGCCAACTACAGCGCCGCCCAGAGGACAAAACCTCATTTGACATTCCAGGTATACTCCGAGATAAGGTTTGAACATCAAAACCTTAATGGGAACATGTTCAGACAGCAGGCATTGCAAACAGCTTATTTGTAGAGGTAATGGTTAACAAGGTTTGACTGTGCTTTTGGGTTTGTTCATACAACAGTAACTTGACAGATTTCCTATTATTTTAAAGGAATGGTTCAAAAAATTTCTAATCTAAAAAGTAAGGAATGTGACAGCTTGTGAGTAAGAAAATAATGACAGAAATCAAATTTTTGGGTGAACTATTCCTTTAGATCAGTGGTTCTCAACCCTTTAAGATATTTCTGGTACAAAGCTTCTTGTTTTCATTTTTATATTTTCAGAAACTAGAAGAGATGATATTGAAAATCCAGAAGTTACATCCAAAAATGTCAAGAACTGCATTTTCTACTAGTTTGTGATTGTAATTCTCAGCAATTTCAGCAATCTCAGAGCTTCACATAACTATAAAAATGTTTATTCATTATAGAAATGTATTGTTTTTAAATTTGATAAAAGTTTGAAATATTTTATTTATTTTCATGGCACTTCACAAAATTCCCTTATATATCCAGATTTTATTTTAGGAATGCTTAAATAAAAATGACATTTATTGAGGTAACCAATTAAAATAAGAAATATGCTTGGAATTAATTCACTGAAAAGCTGAAATAATTCTATTTCTAAAAGAAATATCCTTCGAATTGTGATGAGGCCCATTTGTGGGTCCTGGCCCCCTGCTTTAAACCCATAATAAAACCCTTGGCATTTCTGATTCAGTGCTCAATGACTATTATAGGCTAGTGGTGATCTGTTGTGAAGTAATGCTGCTCTGTGTCTTTGGTTATAGACCAAAGAGATCAGCGCTCCCAGAGGGAGGAGACCTGGAACACTGTGCCCACTACTAAGAACAGCAGGACCATCGACCCCACAAAGATCCCCAAGATCTCCAAGGTGAAGAGATGATTCACTGCACAAACACTTCATATTTCACACATAAAACCCATTTTTGAATGCCAATCAGTGGGTACAATTGATTGAGGTAACACTGCCCCACCTACTGATTATAATCACAGTTAAGTGCAGCATAGAATATGTTGACATTGGCACCACATGTGCTTTAACAATCAATGATGAGTCATTTTAGAATCTGTGATATAGTGATGAGGTAGTAATGCTCTCGTACCCTCTATGACCTCTGAATCCCAACCAATCCACATTACAGCCTCAAATCGATGAAAAGATTCAGCTTGGTCCGCGGGCTCAGATCAACTGGATAAAGGGCAGCAGTGGTGGAGCTAAAGCTAGTGACCCTGGTGAGGCCACATCCACAAATGACACACAGTGTGAAGTAATGTTCAAGACTTTAAGACTTTGTCTTAAATTGACTGCCCATTCAGTGAAGTTTAGATTACTGTTTTCTATATTACATGCCCATGTTTCCAGAGTTAACACGCTCTGCCAGTAGCACCCTGAACCGTTATTCAGCACTACAGTCGTCCACGTCTCAGCCCAGCCCAGCACCAGCCCAAACTTCTGATTCTGATTCCAGACGCCCACTGGGAAGGTACCCAACATCTGAGAACTGAAGAGCTACAAATACAAATGTAGAATTTAAAAGTCATTTGTCTTATTTTGTATGTCTCTGCCAGTCGAGGCAGCACTGGTCGTGATCACAGTGAAAAGCCGTTGAGTTTGGGGCCGTCACGACCGGGGCTCTTCAGCAGAGGTAGCAGCGCTAAGGAGCTAACAGACAACATGGCCCCTCAGGAGACATGGAGAGAGGGGCCTGACTCACACCATACACCTCGTAAAGCCAGCATTCCAGAGGAGAAATGTGAGATAGAGAACAACAGACCCACAGAGACATGTGAGGAAGGATACATGCTTACACTAGTCAACACATATACATTAAAGCTGCATTTTCCATGTATTTGCTTGTGTACTAAATATATATTCTATATACTGAGCTTCTGCTTCATTGCAGTGAAATCTGAGACGCTGCAGGTCACTGGTGGTTCAGAGAAGCCCATCCTGACCGAAGAGGAGGTCGAGCGGAAGTCCAAATCCATCATTGATGAGTTTCTGCACATTAATGACTACAAGGTACATCACAGGACCCTAACACTAACCCAAACAAAAACTCCCGACATTTACAATGAAAAAACAAACTTCTGTTCAGAAGTTTGGGGTAACTACGATTAGTTTTATTCAACAAGGATGCATTAAATTAATAAAAAGTGACAGTAAATAAATTTGTTACAAAAAAAATTCTGTTTCAAATAAATGCTGCTCTTTTGATCTTTGAAAATCAAGGTTTTGACGAAAATATTATCCAGCACAACTTTTCAACATTGATAATAATAATAATGCACCAAATCAGCATATTAGAATGATTTCTGAAGTATCATGTGACACTGAAGATTGCTGTAATGTCTCCAGGTAGTGTTACTGTTGAGCTAAAAATAAAATTGAATTCTTGTATCTAGTGTTTGGAAGTCTTCATTATGTGCATCTCTTTTCACCATGATATATTTAGAAAGTCTATATTGTATTGTAATAGTGTCTGTCTATGTGAGTGTCTGCCATCATACAGCTTTTCATTATTATGTTTGATTCAGTGTATGTAAAATAACTTTGAATATCTACTATGTGATTGTTTGTCAGTACTGTGAACCGTTTTGTGTTCGTGTCTGTTTGTGTGTGCAGGAGGCAGTGCAGTGTGTTATTGAGATGGATCAGCCCTCTCTGCTGTTTGTGTTTGTGCGCATGGGTCTGGAGTGCACACTGGAGCGTAGTCAGAAAGCCAGAGAGCACATGGGACTGCTCTACTATCAGCTTATTCAGAAGGGCATCTTACCCCATTCTCAACTCTTCAAAGCGTGAGCACACACACATTTCATTAGCATCAAATGTAGTTTGCATGTTGTGCACTTTCATCCTATGGTAGTAAAGCGCTATGGTTTGTCCCTGTCTCTTGGCTCTGTAGGTTTTCGGAGATGCTGGAGCAGGCTGATGATATGGCCATAGATGTTCCCTTCATTTGGCTTTACCTGGCTGAGCTGCTCAGTCCTCTGCTGAGAGAAGGAGGAATCAACATGAGAGAGCTGTTCAGGTCAGGACCCCATTGGTCACATCAAACACTGAACGAGGAGGGTCTTATCTCTGTTAGTTCTGTTTGGTGCTTTTTTGTAATTTGTGATGAAAAGGACATTCCACCCCTAAAACCCTGTTACATGTTGTCCTTGATTAATAGATGGATGTTCGTTTGAGGTGGAATCTCCTTTCAACGGACGATTTAAGAAATGCATGTACTGTTAAAGCTCCAGTACAGGGTCCAGATATTATTCATATTATATTATAATACATCTAAAACATGAAATTATAGTATTGTTATATTATTTTCTTTCGATATATCTGTAGGTTCATGGGGGATTGTTGTAGCATATCCCAGCATGTCTCCGGCCTTATATTTTAATTAATTTTGTATTATACCACGATCTGTCTGAATAATCGATTCTGATTGGCTGGAAGGTTGTTGTTCAGTCAGTTTAATCACCGTTCTATATTAATGTGCTGCTTTCATTGAACCTCACACACACATCACGCAGCACACATGCATAAACATTCAGGAGCAGAGAAACTTATCAACGCTGTCCTGCAACTTTTATTAATAAAAAAGCTTCGCTACTGAATCGCTACATTATATTTATCTCTCTCTGTCTCACTATTTACTTCAAATAAATGCTATAATTCATTCAAATAAAAGAAATGGTAAAGCAGTGCTTTATATCTGTGTCTGATTTAAAGCTGGCAGTATGGTATATCTAACATGCCGTAAGTGACAAATATAACCTTCATTTTTACCCTTCTGGTCAAATATTGCACTGCAAACATCAATGGACAGCTTTAATTAGTAAATGTTGGCAAATGACCATGGTATAAGTGGGATAATCCATGGCTTAGGTGGATTTAGGCATTAAAATAATCCAAATATTAATAAAAAACTATTATAGTATCTCAATTCTAAAATAATAGTCGGACGTTTTGCAGTCTTTGAGAATTTTTTTTTTAAGTCAACATGGCCTTTTTAAATTTTTTTGGATGGTGATTTGAGACCGTTTTTCCCAATAGGTTGGACTACAGAATTCAGTACTAGATAAAAATAAATAAAAAACTTCCGACACACCTCATTGTATTGGGTTATTGGGACTTCTGGGGCTTTAACAGTTTGGCAGTGCACAGTAGTTGCAGTCATTCCAGGTCCTTGCAGGCTCCAGCTGTCATAGTGATTCAGTTTAGCATCTAATGGAGATTTGTTTTGTTTCTGCAGTGAGTTAAGTAAACCGCTACTCCCTGTGGGAAGAGCTGCCATCAGTTTACACAAAGATATTAAAAAACAACTGTTTTCAACATTGACAATAATAATGTTTCTTGAGCAGCAGATCAGCATATTAGAATGATTTCTGAAGGATCATGTGACACTGAAGACTGGAGTAATAATGCTGAAAATTCAGCTTTGCATCACAGGAATAAATAAAAATATATTCAAATAGAACATAATAATATTTCGCAATATTTCAGTTTTTAATGTATTCTTTGTAGCGCTGGCCCCTAATATTCGACTAACTGTTAGTCGACCAGAAGAGGCTTAGTCGATCAAAATTGTATTAGTCTCAGAAGAAGAAAAAATTCTACAGGAAGTGGCAAAGTCACATAGTCCGTGAAGGACAAATTATTAACAGCTGGTCTATGTGGTAATTACAGTACATCAGACATCCAAACATTCGTTTCGTTCATCGACCTCAAATGTGGCTTTTCATCTGAAACATGTAAGTAGTAGCATCTTTACATAGCCGCTCGCTCTACCGTTAACCTAGAAAAATGTGTGCTATTCAAGTGTTATGTAATCCGTATGAAACATGCACGTCTGCAGTCTGTGAAGATGACAAGTCAGTCTCGTCGACTTCATCACTGCAGCCACAGTGATGCAAATACAGAAAACACTAGAATTAAGGCGGTCTTCTTGCTGATTTTTTCCCTGACGCATTCATAATCATTACTTCTGCCGGTGTGCAGTGGCAAGTTTTATGTGTGCGCTTGAGCGCTGATAGGCTATAGGCAATTGAAGTCAAATTATTATGAATTATATGGTTTATTAATATATACGTTTAATTAGTCGACTAATTGCTAAAAATGAAGGACTACTAGTCGACTAGAAAAATCTTTAGTCGAGGGCAGCCCAAATTCTTTGATCACATAAATGCAGCCTTGGTGTACAGTAGTGTGTGTGTTTATAGCTAGTTTAAAGCAACTTCCCCAATTTCAAGGAATGTGTTATAAAAGAAGCTTTATGGAAAAATGTGCTCTAGAACACAAAATCAACCAGCTGTGTCTTTTCCCACTTTTTCCAGAAGTTAGAGTTCACCGAATCAGAAGTCTCCCCTGTGTCCCCGGCCACAGCTAAACCCAGCCTCAGTCCTGAGGAGCTCTTCAAACAGCTAGAGCACCTCCTGCTAGAAGACATGGCTAGTGACGAACAGATCTTCGACTGGGTCGAGGTGAGACTGATCCCATAGACCTCTCAAGCAGATCCGCAAAGCCAAAATTCACATGTATGAAACGTCTTCAAGAAAATGCAAGTCTTAAAAGCTGCTTTTCTTTTCAGGCTAATTTGGACGAATCTCAAATGAGTTCATCTCCATTTTTGAGAGCTTTAATGACGGCTGTATGTAAAGCAGCAGTTAAAGGTGAGCAAACTACTTACTCTACTCTTACACGACTCTTCGTGGGGAAGTCGTGGCCTAATGGTTAGAGAGTCAGACTCGTAACCCAAAGGTTGCGAGTTCGAGTCTCAGGTCCGGCAGGGATTGTAGGTGGGGGGAGTGAATGTACAGTGCTCTCTTCCACCTTCAATACCACGACTGAGGTGCCCGTGAGCAAGGCACCGAACCCCCAACTGCTCCCCGG